CAGGCGCTGAGCGAGCGGCTGGCGCAGCCGGCCAGCGGCGGCGCCGCCGCGCTGGGCAGCACCCTGGGCAGCACGTTCACGCTCGGCCTGGCGCCCAGCTTGGACGTCGCCGCGGCGAGCGCGTCCGACAACGCCAGCGCCGCGCCCGTGCGCGGGGGCGGCCGCCTCGTTTCGTCGCCGCCGCCGAGCGGCCCCTTGCCGGGGGCACCCGTGTCCGGCGGCGGCGGCGGCTTTGTTCCGCAGCTGGAGCCCCAAAAGCAAGGGCAGCATGAGGGGCAGCAGGGGCAGGGGCACGGGGAGCATCACCACCGGCAGTGGCGGCCGGATGATCCGGCGGAGATCTCCAGCGGGATGAGCGGAGACAGCTTCCAGCCTTCTGCCTCCTCGTATTCCATGTGGCACGAGCCGCAGGTCCTCGCCGCAGTCGCACAGCAGCTGCAGCAGCAGCAGCAGCAGCAGCAGCAGCAGGCGGCGGCAGGGGCGGCGGCGGCGCCCCAGGAGCCGCATTCTACTGTCGACGGCAGCCGCATGGTGCGGATCGATGAGGTTAGTGAGGGGGACGGCAGCTCTTCGCTGGGGCCCGGCCCACGCCCAGCCGGCGGCACCGCCGGCGGGGCCGGCGGCGCGCAGCCCCGTGCTGCGCGCGCCGGCCTGCAGGCGCCGCCGCCGGGCGCCGGCGCCGCGCCGCCGCGTGTGCCGCGGTGAGGCGGCCGCACGCGCGGGCTAGCGGCGCCGGACCCTGGCGCGTGCCCCTGGGACGCGGCGGCGCTTTTCTGAGTTGCCTGCACGGCACGCCGCGCACGTTTGACACGTTTTTGACGGCCTGTCACCCCAGGCAGGTCCTTAATCAATACTGCCACTTCAAGCCTGGGCATCACCTTTCGCTTCCCAGTCACAATCGGGCCAATTGCGTGGCCTTGCGTCATTCGCACCCGCCGCGGCGTGTCGTGGCGCGCAGCGGCGGCAGGGCTCGGTCAGCCCCGCAGCGGGGTTGATCCAGTGCGACGAGGACTCTTTGAAAAGGGCGTTTGCCGTGAGCGTGCGCCCAACGCGCCACCCTTCGACCCGCCACCCACGTGTATTTGGTCGCCCCGCAGCAGCGGTCCCCACAGGCCGCCTCGTAGCGGGGCCAGCTTAGCCAGCACCGAAATCACTTGATGGGGTGATGCTGCCGCTGGGGAGTGGATGCTGGGTTTGGGCCCGCTGACGTCGGCTGCGGCGCGACCGCGGCCGCGCCGCGCCCTCAGCAACCCCACAGCCGCGGCCCTTTACCGCGCAGTCCCTCCCTTCCTGCCAATCCAGCTCCTCTGACCGCCCGTCCATCAATCAACGCGCCTGTGTGGCTGCGTGCACGCGCGTGATGGCGTTGCGCGGCGCCAGCCCCGCGCTGGGCTGCGGTTTGCGGCCGCGCTGTGCTGTGAGGCGCGCCTCCTGTGGCCAAGGCTGACGGCCTGTGCAACACTGGCCCCATGAAGCCGGCCTCCGCGGCTGGGCCCTCGGCACTTCATGCACAGCCCTCCCCCCGTGCCGCCCAACAGGCTAGCTGCGCGCGGGCCCCTGTCGCTGGCAGCTGCCCACGTGCGTGGCCGCAGCCGGTGGACTCCGGCCCGACTGGCGGCGTTTTGGCTGAACACGCGCACTTTACCAGGACTGCTGAAGCATGCATAGACGAGCCAGCGCGCTCATGCTGTGTGCGCGGACTAGATACCCCTGTGACCCCACACTGCTCGCAATCCCTCCCCTTTTGACCCATCCAAATGTGCCTGGTGTGTCATAGCGTGCGCGCGCCCTTTTGCTCCGCGCCGCTGACACCTTGCTGTCGGCCAGACCGCCAGTGCTCGACGCCTCCCGGCAGGACGAGTTCACCGCAGGCGCTGCGCAGCGCTTTGGGTCCCTTTCATGAGCACCGCATGCAACCTGCATCAAAACACATGCACCAGACTTCTGGAACCCGCCCCTGACTCGGTGTAAACTGGGCTGAGCCTTTTGCAGCGCAGGATGCCAGGTTACGCGCATTGGGCCGACGACGCAGTGCGTGAGATGCAATCTGAAGCAAGTGTTCACACGTATGGTGAGTGAGTGTGGCCGCCGGTGCGACAGGCGGCGGGATGACGGGGCGGAGGCGCGTCGATCGCAATTCGCTCCGCCTTTGCGCCGCCGCTGATGCACCAGCTAGCGCCCTTGCGGCATGCCAAGATAGGGTTTAGCCCAGGGTTTAGCCTAGGGCCCTACCAATAGCTGCGCAGTGGCACGGCGCTGCTGGACCGCTGGCACACACGGCCTTGCGGCAGCGACGCCGGGCTTGGGCGCAGTGATATTCTATAGCACGGGTTCAACCCATCTAGGGTGTGTGGATGACCGCAGGCCTGGCTTGAGCGCGTGTGGTCAAAGGGGCAGCAAGCTCTTTTTTTCTCGTGCCAGGAGCTGCGGTGTAACGGGGCAAGCCCACGTGCACGCGCTGACCCTAGAATGCAGGAGCGCCACGCTTTTCCGCCCTGCAGACAGGAACGATTCCACTCGGCAGCAGCTCCCTCTGCCGCCACAAGCGGGTTCTGGTGCAGACCCACCCATCACTCGTACCCTACGCGGCCCCGGCGGGCCGGCCTGGCCTTGCCGCCGCCCGCCGCTGCTGTTGCTCGTGATACTCAGCCGCCAGCCCCGGGTGCCACATAATCCCGGTGGCGCTCTGGACCACATCGGCCCCGGCCGCCAGCATGGCATCGACATGTTCCGGCGCCGCGACGCCGCCTACGCCCACCAGGGCCAGCCCCAGGCGCCCTGCGTCAATGGCGGCGCGCGCCGCCGCGACGAACGCGAGCGCGGCGGCGCGGATGGGGGCGCCGCAGACGCCGCTGGTCGGGCGGTCGAGGCCGAGCGCGGGGGCGCCGTCCCGCGTCACGATGGCCCTGCGGGAGCGCAAGGTGGCAGTGCAGCGTCAACAAGGATGCATGTGTGTACAAAAGCAGGTGGCATCTGTACATGCGCCCACTATCCGGTGCGTTTGTGAGGCTGCCGATGCAGGGCCAGCGTTGCACAGAGGCGCGGCGCTTCTGCTGGCAGCAACGCCAGGCCGTTCGTTGGCCGCCCTGCTGCAGGGCCGGCCGCGCCCCGGGGCCCTCCCCACACCTGCTGAGGCCGTTGATCCCGGCCACGCCGCGCGCCCCCGCGCCCGCTGCAGCCTCCAGCACCTGAGCCAGGAGCTCTGGGCTCTCAAAGGCGCCCACCTTGATTATGAGGGGCACCTGCGGGCGCGGGCAATGGGCGGCAGCGCCACATAAATGCCTGCGCTTGCCGGTCTTGTCTCCCACCTGGTCAAAAATCTTGACCACGTCCCGACTCCGCCTAGACAGTGGTTGGTCTCAAACACCAGTGCCGCGCACGCGACGCGCGGCCATCATTAACGAGGCATCGCCACATGCGGGCACTTCACATAACTCAGCGTGTCACAGCCGCGTCCCTGCTGAGCCGGCCGCGCCCCGCCCACCTCCGGGCCGAGCGCCGCCACCAGCGCGCGCGTGATGGCCGAGACCTGGGCGGGGTCGGTGTATAGGGCGCCCTGGCCGCGGCCCACGTTGGGGCACGAGTAGTTGGCCTCTACCACCCGGGCGCCTGCGCGGGAGGAGAGGGACATGAAAAAAAGATGAAGAGCGGGGGACAGATGGGTGCCTTGGGCGAGCTGCGGCGCTCTACGGCGCGAGAGACGGGGAGGCCGAGCCAGAGGCAGGGCGAGTCGGTGGCTCAAGACTACAACGGGTGCACCATCCACCCTGCGGTGCTGACCGGCGGCCCTCGGCTGCGGGTTCCTCGCTGCACCCCGCGATGTCCCAGGCTCCAGCTGGAGCCTCGGGGTTGAGCCTGGGTAGCCTGCTGCATCCCAGCACACCCTCAACCACCCACCAGCGGCCTTGGCCAGTTGAGCCGCCTCAACAAAGTCATCGGCGAAGCTGACGCCGTCCGCGCGGTCCGGGGAGCCCGTCACCGAGATGACCAGCAGCTGCGGGGACGCAAGCAGCATGGCCGGCGGGCGGGCGAAGGATGACAACGGGCATTCGGGTCTGCCTAGGTGCAGCAGCGCTCAAAACCCCTCGGCGCGCCTCCCCTCAGGTGTCAAGCACCGGTCCTGGCGGCCAAACGGCTCAACCTTGGCCAACAAAGCTGTCAAAGCAGCCTGCTCCACAGTAAGCGCCCAGCGAGCGCACCTGTCCGGGCCCCAGCGCCGCCTGCGCCTTTGGAATGTCGCTGAGCAGGTATTCAGGTCCCATGCTGGGCATGCCAAAGCTGTTTGTGATGGCTATGTCGGCGGCAGATGCGAACGAAGGTGGTGGCGCAGCCGCGGATGGGGCGGCCGCGGCGCCCCCAGACGTGCAGCCGTTTGAGCGATCTGAGCGGCCGTTGGTGGTGGCGGCGTGGCCGAAGGCGCCCGGTGTGCTGGGCATTGCGGAGCAGCAGGAGGGCTCCTGGCTGGCCGCCTGCAGCATGACAAGGGAGGGGCTGATAATCAGTAGCGAATTCTGACAGGTCGCCTGCTGATGACCAGTGCCCTCGCTCACGGGCCGCTGACCTGCAACCCCCTTGCGCTGGCAACGAACCCTCCCGCGTCGCCGTCCCAAATGATAATGCGCCTCTTGCTGCATCTCCCTTCCTCGCCCTTACCGCGTCTGCGAGTGCGCGCACCGTGAGCGGCGGCGCGCCGGCTGCTGCAGCCGCGGGCAGCTGCCCGGGCAGTTCCAGGTACAGCACATTTGGTGGAGCGTGGCCCGGGCTGTAAGAGGAGCGCACTGTCTTGTAGGTGACGATGTCATAACCCAGCCGCGCCGCCAGAGTGGTCCACTTGCTGTCCAGGAGCGGCCCTGCCGGCACGCCCAGGCGGGACGCGACCTGCGCCCCACGATCAAGACGCGCGGGGCCATGAGACAGACCGGGGGGCAAATGCATCGTTGCTGCCGCCTCGATCGCCTCTGGCGCGTGCGCTGCCGCTGAACCCATGCTGCCTGCATGCTCAACATGTGCGGCACATGGGCCCTCACATGGCGCCCACCTTGAAGCCCAGGAAATCAAACCACTGGTCTGGCGGCGGCCGTGCGCGATCTAGCGGCAGAGGGCCGTTGTAGCTGGGACCTCGCCGCAGGTTGTCCTCCCATGAGGCGTGGATGTCATATATGCATGCCATGTAGGGTGTAAGCTGATCCTGGAGTAGCTGCTGCTCGTCTCAAGTGCGATCGTCCAGCCCGCACGCGACGATGTGCAGCGCTGAGTCATGCGCTGCCGGTGCAAGGATGTCGTGTATCAAGTTTTCTTGGATCACAAAGCATGATATTAATTTCCTAACTGTGATCCACACGCAAGAATTGCCGTTCACGTTGTCCTGAGAGTGCGAGTCGGCCCAGCACAGCACCCGCAGCACGAGGCAAATGCTGCGGATCTACTCGGTGGAGAATTTATTTGGAACAGATGCGCTCACGTTTTATATGCCTATCGTGTCGTCACAACAGTTAGCGGGGGCCTTCGAGACTCTCGAGTCACTAGCGAGCCGTATGCGCAGTGCGTGCTGCTCAAACGCCTCGTAAAGGCAGGAACAGCCTGCGGAGCGTCACAAAAGGATTCAACGTGCATTATTTGACTCTGGCGCGTGCTTGAGCACTGACACCTGCGCTGCTGCGCTCTGGCCCCTGGGCCCGCGGCATGTCTTCGGTCTGCTGCGCCCTAGCGCCACCTCGGACGCGTCCGTCAGCAGCCCTCACCCTACGCAAGGTTTGAGTGCAACGCAGCCAACCATGGCACCCTGCCCGCTGGACGACACGGATCTCCTGGAGAGCTTCAGCAACTTTCTGTCAACTGCCGAAGTGCTGCGCCTGGCCGCCACGTGCACCACCTACACCAACGCCTTCAAGGAGGCATTCTCGAAGCCCTCGGTACGCTTATTTGCCCACCTTGGAGGCCACTATCGTTTAGACTCCACGATGACGTCAACCCTTCAAGCCTGGTTTGATGCTTGCTTCGATGCCCCATGCGCTGTTGGTAGCTGCGCTCGCCGCTGTCGCCCCTGCCGCCCCTCTACCTCTGTAGCCTTTGCTGCCACACACATGTTCGGGCCGTCAACCACCATGTGTCACTTGTGACCGCTCAACCGCAGCCCCTGCGCTACTGGAGCCGCAAGGAGGGCGCGACACGTGGACGCACCCTCCGCCTGCCCCCCGGCTTCGTCACCGGTGCGACCGTACAGCACTACCCCCAAGACGCAATCCAAGAGGAAGCCTGGCAGGGCGCGTTCGATGCGCCGCCTCCTGAGCAGCAGGGTGAGCAGCAGGACGAGCAGCAGCCGCATCAGCAGCACGGCGAGCAGCAGCAGCAGGACGAGCAGCAGCAGCAGCAGCAGCAGGACGAGCAGCAGCAGCAGCAGCAGCAGCAGCAGCACGAGGATGACGAGGAGGAAGACGATGAGGAGGACGAGGAAATGCTGGCCGCGCTGCCGGGGGTGCTGCAGGCCATGCTGCACGCCGGCGGGGCCGGCGCAGGTGCTTTCGCCTTGGACCAAGGAGCGGCGGACGCGCCCCACACCCGCCC